AGAGCATAGATTGTTTTGTAAATGAAAACAAATGCAAGGTTATAAAGTGACAATAGTAGAAGAAGATGTTATTTTAGCTTATTTTTTAGATAAAGTAAGTAATCTACAGAAGATTTGTATGATTCTTACGGGGACAATATTTATTATAGTCAAAAAGATTGAATTAGGTAAAGACTCTATGTTAAAGTCAATTTTACTTGTTAAAAAAAAAATGTGAACATCAGTAAGTTCTAGAAAATCATTTTTGAAAAAATGTAGCATTCAGTATTAACTGTCGCAATCAAAGGTACTCCCAAGAAAAGAAGTCAATATATTTCTCAAAAAAGCACGTGATGAAAACTATCGCTTGGTCAAAGTATGATTGGGATTGCTGGAAGTTGTCTATGACCCTCAATGATGTTCAAGATGCATGAACACAGCTCGTATTCACGATTTCGCAAACTAAAACTGACGTAAAACGTGTTTTTACTATTATAAATAAATATAATTAATTTTATCGAAATATACCGAAAATAACTTGCTATGCGACCGGACCGGCAAGGTGAGCGATTATAGTTAGTTCTTCCCAAATAAAACTAATGACGAGTAAAAAAAATAAATAAATTCCACCTCACAACAGATGAAAGTACGCAATTGTACCAGTCGACATCAACATGTTAATTTAAATAAAATCCCGAAAATTAAGTAAAATCTAACTACCTCCCTTCTTAAATCATTATACAAAAAAAAACTACAAAATATAATTATAAAATAAATCCGTGCGTGATTTTTAACAAAAATTAATAACATCCAAAAAACCTGCTAAATCCATCCCCACGATTGGTAAAGGTTGTAGATCAGCTACTTCTCCATTCCAAGGCGAAGACAACAAAAACAAAATCATTCTACCAAAGAACTCTGCCGAATCGTCGGCCAATAGCCACGTCGGTGTTGAGTACAACGGCTATATGACAAAACAGCGCAGGACAAAATGGCGCAAGACACAATAGCGCAGACAAAATAATGTGAGACAAAATAGCGTAGGACAAAATAGCGCAAAGACAAAATATCGGAAGATGAAATAGCGCAAAGACAAAATAGCGCAGGACAAAATAGCGCAGGACATAAAAGAGCGTGTCAAAATATTCCAGTATTCTAATTAAAATTAAGTTTAAACTAATTTACCTAACCTGGGCGGCTTGAAACCATCGCATGTTGCTTTAAAAAAACAAATTTACATAAAATTAGAAAAACTAAAAAAAAATCGTAACTAATTTACCTTACCTGTTTGGCCTGGAGCCATATGCTGCAACCCGCCATGGCTCCAGGCCGCATAGCTTAGGTAAATCAGTTTTTTTTATTTAAAATACTGGCATATTTTGTCGCGCATTAATTTGTTTCACACTTTTTTGAAAAAACGCTAACTTAACTCACTATAATTAAACTAGGCGTTAATTGGTCTCATTTTATTTATATCAGGCGCTACTTGCCTGTCATATATTTGTCTCGGAGTAAATTTGTCCCGCGCTAAATTGTTTCGCGCTAAAATGGGTCAGATCCTAAAATGTGAGAGAAACAGCTGCACTTCAAACATTCTCTACCTAGGCGTCGTTGGGACAGTATTTGTTACACATTATTTCAATGAATTTCATTAATTAAAAAACATCTTATTCATTACTCGCTATTTTGTCCTTGCGCCATTTTGTCCTGAGCTATTTTGCCCTTGCGTGATTTTGTCCTTGCACGATTTTGTCCTTGCGCAATTTTGTCCTGCGCTATTTTGTCCTGCGCTGTTTTCTTATGGAGCCTGGTACAACAGTTCCTGGGTTCGTGCCGCCAGGTGGGGCTCTGCCCACTCCAAAAACGGATCACCATCCCCAGAGGGTTGTGAACCGACTCCTAGTCCTCCCAAGGTCCCCAAAATAATTAAATAAAAGCTCTATACTTCGTAGTTTAACTAAACCTAGAGAACTAGACGTTAAGAACCTTTCCTAAATTATCTCCATACGTAAAATGTTACTATTTAAAACCGAAAAATCCCCCTTAAGGGACAGTGAGTTCAAAAGAACGAATTTACAAAGGTTCGCCCATTACAAAAAAATCACTAATTTAAAAATATAAATCTGTACTTTTATAAAAAAAAAGAACAAACATCCGCAATTAAAAAAAGGTTAACGAACCAAGAACTGGTAGCCAGACGACGAGGTAGAGCCTGGAGAGGTCACACATGGCCGCAATCCAAAAAATACACTCTGTTGAGTCAATTCAACTCCTAAATCCACAATAACATCGGCCACCAAAACCTGCTCACACTAATGGTAGGTTTGCGAAAAATAATCCTCCCTCAGATTATAGCACACTAGCCACCCAACGAAAAATGGATGCTGACACCAAGTGTATCTAACACCACTTCCACTCTAGAAGCCTACATACTGAACCAAGAAGAAGGAATCCTCCCATTACTTTCCTCGAAGGTACTTCCAGAACAAATCAGCAAATTGCCTCCTAATCAGCTGCATAATTCTGACCAATCATCAGAAAATTTATCGGAAGATGATAATAAGGATTCCTACGTTACCGACTTTTCGACTAATAGAAAAACCGAATAAAAATAAAAGAACACTAAACGAATATATCGGATGCGTTTCTTCTCTAAAAACCTTAATTTAATCTCAAAACCCAAAGTAAAATACAGTTAGCGCGACTCCACGCTCAAAAAGACCACAAGATTACGAAAAAACACGTACCAACCAAAATCCCAGTATTTACACTACTCTAATATGAAAACCCACGGAGCGGTACAACCAACGGTGTTCTCGGAGTGATTTGAGCCAACCGAACTTCATCAGTCAGACGCGAATTGGAAATTAAAGTTCATAACCTTTAAGTTTGGCAACCTAGGATATTTCGTGGACGGCGTCAAGTGACAGCACAAGTTTTATTGTGGTTTTTTAAAAATTTTCGAGAATAATTTGAACATTAAACTGTTTAATAAGGACATTTAAGATGGTGAGGAAATGTGTAGCGTGTCAAAATATTTGTAATAAGAATTTTATGCCGTCATTTCATAGGTAAGGTTTTGTTAGCATAGACGGAGGTATATATAGGAAATAAGGCTTGATTTATTTAACATTGTATAGGCATGTATAATCTCAGTTCAATGTTGGTGAACCTGCTATTATTTTAAAATCTTAAATAAGTGACAATTCTAAATATACATTAAAATGAGCTATTCTTGTGTAGAATCGATAAATAATAGTGTTTCTATTTTTATTTGGTCTAACTTTAGGAAATACATCATAAATTTAAATAAAACTACATGAAATCAATTTAACTACTAAATTGTTATAAGTAGCGATAGAGCAGGGACTAGGGCGAAAGTCCTGGTTTCAAATCTCGGCTGGGGACTAATTAAATCTGTTTTTATGTTTATTTTATTTTATAAATTAGTAAAAGACAAATTAATTATATTAAAATTAATTATCCTGTCTTAATGACCTAAAATAGTTTTTAAAGTTTGTAGATTTTCGTTAGCGGGTGGTAGAAAAAATATACTGTACAACTCGAGTTGATTGCCACATATCGCACTCGGACGATTGAGCACTTTAGTTACAGCGTCGTGCTCAAAATTCGTCTTCGTGTGATATGACCATCATATCAACTCTTGTTGCACAAACTACTATTCTACAATTATCACCAAAATTATATAATAATAAATAGTAAAAAATCTTGAAATACGAGTACGTTTATGTCATTAAGGAGGTCCTTTCACCACCCCTTTCGCCACCAATGTTAAATAAAAAATATTAGATTATGACTAAAATTTATTTTTTTTCTAATAGTTGAAGTCCTTATTTATCTAATGTTGAACTTTTAACTATACCTTACCGTGCAAATTTTTGAGAATTTTTTTTTAAATGTGAATATTTGTACACTGTCTTACGAGAAAATAAGACCTCAACAACAATTCTCGAATTATATTATTATTTATTGATTAGATGGAGTAGAAAAAAACTAAAAATAGGGTTTTTGAAATATTTAGGTTTTGTTTTTTACAATAAAATATATAGGTTACCTTGGAATTTATTGAGAAATTAATATTAAAAAAAAATTTGAAGTAACTTACTTGAAAATTTTTTGTGATTTTTTAATATTAATTTCTCAATAAATTCCACGGTAACCTATATATTTTATTGTAAAAAACAAAACCTAAATATTTCAAAAACCTTATTTTTAGTTTTTTTCTACTCCATCTAATCAATAACTAATAGTAAAATTATTTATATTTCGAAAATTGTTGTTGAAGTCTTACTTTCTCGTAAAAAACTGTACACACACACATTTTTAAAAAAAAAATTATCAAAAATTTTCACGGTAAGGTATGGTTAAAAGTTCACTATTAGATAAATAAGGACTTCTACTATTAGAAAAAAATTAATTTTAGTCATAATCTAATATTTTTTATTTAACATTGGTGGCGAAAGGACCTCCTTAAATTCTCATTTAAAGAATAGTGCATTGATTTTATTGTTATCAAATTAAGTTCGAAAGAAACGGAAGCTTCTTGGTCAATTTAATTAAATGGAATTGCATTAAAAATCAAGCAATACGCTCCTATTGCTTTCAGTACTATATAGGATTCGACTGGCTGTTGAAGTATCATAAAATTTCCAATCTCTGCTATTCTTCAGAATCAGAAAAATTGTACAATTAAATTCCAATCTTCGGTCGTAAAACTGGGAGTCTTTCTAAATACGAAAAACCAATATAAAAGCCACAGTAGAACAGGGTCGCGCCTTTTATTTACTTTAAATTAATAAAAATATCGGTCACATTATTTTTGCTTCGCAGATATTTCCAAACCTCGACATACTGAAAAATTACTAATTACCTCTTATTAAAAAATAAAGTCTACATTTAAAATTTAAAAGTTTTAAACTGACGATATCTATACATATTTTATTAATTATGTTTAAGGTTCTAATGTTTTGAAACATAAATCTAAATGCTGAAAAATTTACCTTTAGCGGAATCATTGTAATTTTCAAATGAATTATAATAAACGCGTGTTTATTGAATTTAAATTACCCTTAAAAAATAATAATTTTTTATATTTAGTACAGTATTCATTTTGTGAAAATTGAAACACATAAACATAAATAAGTAACTCTTTAAAATATTAAACGAGAAATTTCAGTAATTCGATTATTTTTTCATTTGTAACAGTTTTTAAAATAGTATTATTTTTTGAATCAATCAAATACGTAGACATCAAAAATAAAATGATATTGTATTGAATAAAACTCATTTTAACTAGTAAACGATGCGAATGCAAATGGAAAATACTTGTTGGGAAATAAATACATGTATGTATGCGATTTGATTTGATAAAAAATGTCATCATAAATGTAATTACAGTTTCCAATATTTTCATTTTTTTGTTAATATTCAGGAAAGTTGCAACCACCTATTGGCAATTATAAAAGAAAGTATCAAAGCCTAGCCATACCTGTCATTTTGGCAGATGTTTAAGTTTTTCTCATAGCGGATGTAATTATTGTAACATCATCAGTACTCTTATCTTAAAAATTTCATAATATAATAGTTATTTATGCAACAAGTTAAAATGATTCATATTTTCATGAATACAGGCCATCTATCATTTCACTAGCGATCATATTATTTTAAAAATTATGAAGGGGAGATAATATTGAAAGTCAATGCCAAATAGATAAAACAAAAACAGGCTATTTATTTAATAATCAAAACGATTTACTTACTTACATTTCAATTACGTTGATATTGTAACGTTTGTTTAATTTAAAAATAGTTTATTTATTAAAAACGGTTTATTTATAATTTACTTATAACGTACTAATTAATTTATTTAAAACTATTATAACTCACAATTCTAATTTATTTATTACATTATATCTTTTCTATAGAACACTTTAATTCAAACTAGCGCTCTTTATATAAAGCCAGCTCTGTACTTGAACATTCCTAACCGTCTAGAAATTCTGGAATTTCATCATCTATGACTCAACGAGCGCGTAACGCTTTTTCTGGAAGTTTCCCGAAGCACTGCGAAACATAGTCGAAGCGGCTTGCAGCGGAACAGGGTTGGGTTAAGGTGGTTACATGACACTGCCCTCTTCTCAAGAGATAGTTCCTCCTGGAACTGTTACTGAAACTGCATGATTATATCTGCTTATGGGCCCTCTTTTATAATTTCCATTTACATGGAAATAACAAGGGAGCGTTTTCGCTGAAGCATGGACACTAGATGAATGGCTGCAGACCAGTATTTTAACCTCAGTATGTTTCTAATGATCCTCCAATTCAGTTGGTTGATCTCTATCTTGGGCCTGGCTAGTTTTTGTACATTGGAATCCAGTACTTGCTCTCTCAGACTAAGCAAAGTTTCACATATATGGAAAGGTTTCGGGTCGAAGCTGTCTCCTCTAGGCTGACCCGTTCTAGTTTTCCTGCGGCGTGTTGTCTTCATTTGTTGGGACCCTAGGGCGTTTGCATGAACTGCGTACATGTCCCAGTTCACTGCAATCCCAGTACCTGATAGCCTTCGTCTTTATCTTTTCCAGCAAAGATTTTCAATATATTAACTAGTTGGTGAAGTGTATCTTCCACGTTTTCTTTTTTTACAGTACTCACTTTATTGTATTCCCCAGAAGCTTGCGCAGCTGCCTCATACTCTAGAGCAGCGAACAAGATATCGACCAATGTTTTGTGACGGGTTAAGCGAAGACGAAGTCCATCAACAAATGTTTGGGCTGCCAAACATTCAATTATGTTTTCTTGAGATAATGGGTAGGCAAATCGCACCAACCTGGCAATATCTACTTCATATTTTTAAAGGATTTCGTCTCGTTTGCGATTCTTTAATTGTGATTGGTATAAATGTTCCAAGTGTTCCTGGCCATATCGCATGTTCAGTCTCTTTTTGAATTGTTCAAAATCATTCGCCTCTTACACAGGTATTGTCTAAAGAACATCTAAAGCGTCTCTTCGAAGGGCGGTGGTCAAATTTACTACCTTCTCTCTTTCAAACCATTTGTTTGCTCTGATAGCTGTGTCGAACTGTTTAAGGTAGTTGGTCCATGACACCTTCCCGTCCAAAGTTGGGGCTTTAACACGAGCAGAATTTTCAGCTCCTTCCAATTTCAACTTTGACTCCACCTCATGGCACTTTATTTCACTGTCCTTAATCTGGTCTACGTGATCCATTTCTTCTATATTCTTTTTCATTTCTTTTATTTTCTCTTCAATGGAAGACATTATTTTATTCTCGACTGATGATGTCTTATTTTTCACAGAAGAAATTTCAAAAGACACTTTTTCTTCTAAGGAAGAAATATCAGCAGTAATTTCAGTTTTTATAGAAGACATTTTGTTTTCCAAGTCGGAAGAAATTTAATCTTTTAAAGAAGAAATGTCAGACGTAAATTTACTTTCTAAGGAAGTAATGTCAGAAGAAACTTTAGTTTCTAATAAAGAAATGTTAGAAGAAATATCGGTTTTCATAGTTGACATTTGACTTTCTAAAGAAGAAATTATAGCAGAAGAAGAATCATCAGGAACTAGATACGTTTCCGAATCCAAACCTTAATTTTCTGCTTGTTAAGTCGTTCTACCAGCTCTTCTATACAACACTTAAATTCAAACAAAAGCCAGCTCTGCACTAGAATATTTTCAACCGTCTAGAAATTCTGGAATTTCGTCATCTATGACTCAACAGCCGCGTAACGCTTTTTCTGGTAGCTGCTCGAAGCAGTGCGTTTGTCTCTGTCCTGCAGATCGAAACATAGACGAAGCTGCTTACAAAGGCGAGTGGAACAGGGTTGGCTTAAGGTGGTTACATGACAATATTCATTTATTGTAGATAGCTGTACGTTGCCCAGTAGAGTAATAATTATGTTATAATGTCAATGTTATGAAGGATATTTTAATATTCATTATGAAATCGACTTTTAGTCAATTTTATTATTAAATTTAGACTAACATAACCATCGTGTAAATTAATAAAAGTACGCGTAGGGCGTGTAATCATCCAAAGCAGTGGGTGAATTCCAGAAGCCAAACCAAGTACAAATTTGAAAAACTTGTATAAGCGAAATATTCTAAAATTTGGAGAAAATCATGGAAGAAGAGTAAGTAATTTTATATTTTCTATGAATTTTCTATGAATTATAAACTGTAAAATTTAGTTTTAAAACATTTATTGAAAGTATAATTTAATAAATCTAAATACTTTCTACTATTAATTAAGGAAAGGCAACTAGTTGTAATTATTATTTCCGATTGACATAAAATACTATAGTCAATTATCATATCACAAATTTCTATAGAGTCAGAACACAAAACGAAAATGTCTTAGAACATCAAACAATCGCAAACATTTGCCTTTTTCGGGTTATATTCAATTGTGAATATGTGTAATCAATTTATTGTAAATAATAAGCAAATATTATATAAGTTAAGAGAGAATGACGAATTACAATTTATTTATGAATTTAAAAATTTTAAGAATAAAAATTATTTCTATATTTGATAATTACCAAATATGAATATTTGTAGGAGTTTATTTAAAGAAATAAATAAGATAATAAAATATTGATATAAAATGTATAAATAATAATGAATCTGTTTTACTATAATTATTATAGGAATATAGGCTAGCTGATGTAAGTGAAAAATACATTTTTTTTATTAATACAATTACATACATTAATTAAGTTATTTTCTAAGAATCGTAACAATATGTTCAATTTACATGTTTTTTTTGTCAAAGAAAGGCGTATTACCGTTCATAGGATCAATGCAAGAAGTGACCTGTTCACATTTTTAGCAAAAGTAATTTTTAATATGAACATGTTAATATAATTATTATTATTATAAGGAAAATAATATTTAAATTACCAAAGACAAACATTGATTAGTTTTATGAATAAAGCACGAAATAGTTATGAATCTCATGAGTCAAAAAGGAACTTTACACACGAGTTGCATACAATATTTTTTCTGCTACCGTACACATTATCCACTAATATTAGAAATATAAAAGTTACTTTTTTTCACTAGTGCGTAAAGTACTTTGTTGCTATGTACAATTTTTGTCAAATTTTATTTTTTTTTACTTTACGCCCTAGTAAAAAAGACAACTCTATGCACTCCACAGATTATGTACTTTACGCACGGTAGTAGAAAAACGTTTTTTACTTCTCCTTAAGTAACAAAAGTGCACATGTCCGGTTCTTGCATCGATTCCTTCAATTATTGTTTAATTATATGCTATTATATGCTATTAAGCAAAAGTTACAAAGAAGTCATTTAATGTCAGTTCGAGGAAAACGTCAATTTTGCAGTGAGATTTTCAAAAGCTTTTGGATAGGATAGTAGTAAAAATATTTTGTACAACTCTGTTTTATAGTCAAACCGATTTAATAAACCCTGTTTTTATAATGATTGTGGAAAAATACACTATTTTTATAAAATCAGTTTTTTTATTATAATTATAAAATAGATGAACGCCACTGTTAAAATCCGTGTCTTCTTGATTTTTATATTGATATTGGCTTTTTACGACTCAAGAAAGGAATTTGCATAGACGTCTATTAAAATTAGAACGAGGCCTATCCTATAAACAGGGGGATATTTCTGTTTATTTGATCTACATAGCTTCTTTTTATTGGTGTTGTACTAAATCAGTTTGGGGTTATAAAAGTCTTCCGCAAAAATCAAGCAAGAATTAAAAAATGTCGAAATAATCAAGAAATTGTTTATTTGTCTTTGACTATATAGAAACTAAGTGATTCTTGAGGAATTAAAATTGAGGTATAATATGAAAATAAATGGGATAATTGTACTGGAAGTAAAATATTTGGTTTAAATTTAATCTCTAGCGGTATTAAAAAAAAATTAAAAACCATTGGAGACTTTATATTCACTTAGTCAATATTGGTTTTATTTCTAATGCTTATACGCATATACATCCCAATTAAAACGATCAACGTGAAAT